AATCAGTCAACCGTCTTTGATCATACTCTTCATTTTTATTTTACCACAAGTACATAATTTTATAATCGTGTGGGACTTTTTTTTTACTCAAGTTTGGGAGTTGCTCAAATTCCCTTGAATAAGCTGTTTAAGATGTTCGTAACATTCTCGTAATTACACTAAGTGCATTTTAATTAAGTCAATAAGCATAGATAATTTTTTTTTTCATCAATACGTTTGATGTGTTCTCATAGAAATTTTTAAAATAGTATTGGATTTTTTTTTTACGTCTAGTGCATGATTATCTGAAATACCGTCATTATTTTAGTTGGACAATGCAGTTAATGATTTTTGCATTGACCCATGACATGATGTTTTATACGTTATAAAAAAACATACATTTGAGACGTACTGAGTGGCTATTATAGTTTGTTATTCGTGAAAGTTGTCTTTTCAATAAAATATCAGATGAGTGCTTAATAACGTCACAATGTAATTTATTGTATACGCTTACACTTTTCATAAAAGTGCTGTGAAAAATGTTTGTTAATTACCAAACCAATTTTTATTTATTCCTTAAAAAATTACTTTTTTTCTAAATAAAATTGATATCTTTTGAAATGTCACGTAGTTATGTCATGCATGACAATGAATTGTTGTACAATAGAGCCTTCTCTCGGTACTTCAGAGTTTTGCCACCATTTATAAGGATATAATAATAAAAAAAATATTAATAAAGAGAAAGAGAGAAAACTATAAATGAATCAAAGATTTATGATTCCTGCCAGAGACAAATAGATTTTTCATCGAAAAATATAAACCATACACAATGTATACATAAATATCATATATTTTATTTGTACAGATATGAAAGCCCACACCCGATACATGATCTGTGTCGAATATAAGAGAACAATGTCATGAACGAACTTAGCAATCATGAAGCTTAAGTGATATGAATCACACGTGCACTCAACTTATATACTGAGAGACGTAATAAAACTTGCCCGAATCAAATGATTTTTATGAAATCAATTGATCAACCAGTGCAGCTTTCGCTCTTAAATAAAATTTAATTATTGTAATGTTGATGAATCGAAGTAAATTAAAATGGTAACATAATTTTATAAACCCTGTGAGCAGCTTATTGGGTAACGATTATTTTTGGTGCTCTTTGTAACTATTTGTTCGTAGAAATAATATGCTTACGTGAATAAATTGTACAGGGTAGATTTTTCACAATTTCCTTGAAAATCAAAGATCCTTGAGATGCTTGCATTAATTTATGTGACCAATTAAAATGAAAATTGGCTTTAATAGGAATTTTAACAAAAATTATATTTTTGTTGTTGTTGTGAGTGGATCTTTGATTTTTTAAGACGGCACGCTGTATACGTAGTATATGTACGTAATACCTATTATTAAAAAAAAAAAAAAAAAAAAAAAAAAAAAAAAAAAAATGGTTTTTTTAAAAAAAATCAGTCTTATTCTGTGATTTGCGACCACACCAGTCCCAAGCTCTTAAGTATATTAAAATGAGACGGACGATGAAAACACCAGTTTGTGTCCAAGCAGACTAATTATGACGTACTACATGTTTTCGGCCTATGCAGGGTCTCTCGTATTAATAAGATTCAATCAATCCGCAATGGCAATGTTGAACTCTATTATACTCAACAAAGCTCCAATTGTGAAACCCAATTTATACATGTATAATTGTATATTGCATCGCTGAAGCAACTTCGCATCCACTTCAGAGTTGGAAAGTTGCATGTAGTGTGTATTTGACGAATGTAATAAAATTAAATTAAATATGTACTTTTGTCATCGTTGTATAAACAAAGACTTGGAAAATTACAATAAAAGTGAGTTGAATGTAATACAAATTTTACGAACTGAGAAGAAAAGTAGCTAAAATTATACCACCCACAGTATTTATCAAAAAACGTGTGAAACAACATTACGGTGTAATAAAGAATATAACAATTATTACAATAAATAATATTTTTAAGAAACGAGTAAAAGCATAACCCGTTGATCCATTGTAGTGAAAATTCGACCTTTTTTTAAATTAACCTAACTTGTATCTAAGTTATACATTTTTTTTAGTCAAAATATCAAATCATTTACATTTATTTCAATCTATGACATTTTAATCGACCTTTGCTTAATAAATAAAAAAAAATAAACAAAAAAATAAAAACAAAGGTCCTACGGTCTGCGAGAGGAGTACGCAGAGATGATACAGCTGTGCCGGAACTGCCGCTGTCTGTTCTGGCGTTCGCTGGGCCATCCGTGCATCGCCGACCAGGATCCGGCCTTCCAGGAGAAGCTAGCCGACGTTGACCGGGCCTCCCTCCACGTACCGATACCACCCCAGACCTTCCTCAAATTCTTCTCCCTGTGAGCGCCCCTCGATCATCGTCATTTTCATTATATTTTTTATTAATATACATTGTTATAACAATCGACCGATCCGTTGGTTAACATAAATTATTAATTCATTCGTGCAGCAGCTGTTTTTTTTTTTTTTTTTTTTTTTACTAGTATAAATATAATCGTGTTCGTGCGTGCATGTGAGTAAGAGACGCATTGTTGGGAAAAGAGATGTATCTTATGTTTGGATGATTTTTTTTCGATTTTTTACGGTATTCTTAATTATTTTTTCATTTTAAAAATGGGAAACGAAAAAATAATGATTTTCATAATTTATTGATATTTCTTAACTAAAGAAGAGTGAGGTTTGGTAATCAGTGATTATGAAAATTATACGAGGCCACGTGTAAAAATTACATTGTTGTGTTTTAACAAAATTTTTGTTTTCATTGTTCTAAATTTTATGATCTACTGATTGATAAAAAACATCAAAGTTTGTAACAAAATCATTTTTTTATTGGGAGTTAAGTTTTTATTTAATTTAAATGAACTTTATTATCGACGCATGAATTTTATTTTAAATACACGTTTTTGTTTTGTGATATGTAATNATGTAATAAAATTAAATTAAATATGTACTTTTGTCATCGTTGTATAAAAATTTGTCACTCATTTTAAGTACTTAAAATAATTAAATTCTTTGAGAGTTTATATGCAGTGATGAACGAAAAAATCTTGTTCATCATCAGCCGAATGCGAGTTCCAGGCAGGTATAAAAAATTTATAAAAAGTAATTTCCAAAAGTGCAGTCACTTCAAAAACTACGTATAACGATATACTTAATACCGACAAAATTTTTTACCTTCTATTTCACTTCTATTTTATGATTGTTTGTCGCAAATTTTCGATTTGAATTGAAATTATTCAAAACTTTGAGATAATAGTTTTCACATGAATCCTATCCTTTCACTCACTCTGAATACAATCACAATGTTAGATTGGTGTATTTTTTATTATTTTGTAATATATCGTCATTTTGAAATAACATTTTTTGTCCTTAATATATTTAAGATTCGATTTTATTAAACTCATACGAATGTATTTGTGCTGTTTTTAAACTTTCATGTTTTTTACGCTATACAAATATTATAACATAAGTATACTTTTTAGTATCGAAAAAATATTAATCGGTTCATTAAAAATTCTATTTTTTATTGGGCCAACGTATATGTATTATATACTTTGAAGCTACGTATGCATTAATTTTTATACGAAAACGTTATAGAAAGTCTTTTTAAAATTGAATGTTCTTATAAGTAATACGTACACGTGATAAACTTGAGTAAGCTGATCTTTTTGTAGCAAATGTGTTTTGCATGACTTTTTGCGCGACGATATAAATATGTGCAGATTGCGATAAAATTTCATTGTAACAAGTATATTTTGAACAAAGATATGAGCAAATAAAAATATTTGAAAAAAAGGTTACTGCCAAACTGGAGATGCTATTGCATTTATGTAAATTATCATTCTTATGAAATTTTTAGTTCAAAGAGGAAGAAGATATTATAAAAAAGCAAAAAAACCGATTCTTTTTGATAAATGTGCGTTTTTTATTTCTGATGAGTGTAAAACAGATGGGAAAAAATATAAAGCCCTTTGCACGTCCCACATACATTTACATTTTACTAACCTAGTCATTATGTATAGGGTGCAGCATTGAAAAAAAAATATAACTGTCGTACCAACTTGTGTGAATTTAGCACCCCTTAAAAAAAAGTAAATAGAAAAATCATTGCGATTAAATAGCACGAAATCGATGATTGATGGGATGATAATAATGACGATGGCGATGGTGATGATGAGGAAGAAATAATAATAAAGCCTATGTATTAAATGCTCGTACAATTACGATGAGCCACACATATAAAGTGTAAACGAATGAAAACGTATACAAAAATGAATGTAAAATTTGTAGATTTCTTCAAAGAAGTGTATTGTCCGTAAGCAAAAAAAGATGAAAAAGTTGGCACAATTTCATCTAAATAGAATATGTATAGAAGGATGTTACATGCAAGATGCTTTTTAAAAAAAAAGTAAATCAAATCTATTTAAATATATTTATGACAAGATTGATCGTTATTTTAATACTTCGCGCGAGTCTTACAAATTTAAGTCTAACGAAACAAAATATATGAAATCTATAGTTGTAATCAATCGATTCTAATGTGAAAAGTAAAAAAGAAATATATAAATTTGTCTGTAGATAGAATCTGGCTTCGCAATTCAACTATGAGGGGAAAATGTTCACTGTAATCGTAAGGTAAAAAAAAAAATTATATTAGAAACACAAAAATGTGATGATATATCGTAATAAATATTGTCAAGAAATCATTGTATTTAATTATTTTTTCTGACCTTTACGATGATAAATGTATTTTTTTGTAAGTTTTTTTTATTATTAATTACTTTTTTACTAAGCTTAACAAATGGTAACAATTAGAATCTTCAAGTAAATTGCATCAAAATTAACGAAATGCATCATAACTTGAAATTTTACTCCACTATAGAAGTTTTCATTTATTTACTCTAGATTTTCCAGAGTCCTAATTTTTTTTTTATGCTTTATCTACTTATTATAATTTTGTCTTAATAAAATCAGTCAACCGTCTTTGATCATACTCTTCATTTTTATTTTACCACAAGTACATAATTTTATAATCGTGTGGGACTTTTTTTTTACTCAAGTTTGGGAGTTGCTCAAATTCCCTTGAATAAGCTGTTTAAGATGTTCGTAACATTCTCGTAATTACACTAAGTGCATTTTAATTAAGTCAATAAGCATAGATAATTTTTTTTTTCATCAATACGTTTGATGTGTTCTCATAGAAATTTTTAAAATAGTATTGGATTTTTTTTTTACGTCTAGTGCATGATTATCTGAAATACCGTCATTATTTTAGTTGGACAATGCAGTTAATGATTTTTGCATTGACCCATGACATGATGTTTTATACGTTATAAAAAAACATACATTTGAGACGTACTGAGTGGCTATTATAGTTTGTTATTCGTGAAAGTTGTCTTTTCAATAAAATATCAGATGAGTGCTTAATAACGTCACAATGTAATTTATTGTATACGCTTACACTTTTCATAAAAGTGCTGTGAAAAATGTTTGTTAATTACCAAACCAATTTTTATTTATTCCTTAAAAAATTACTTTTTTTCTAAATAAAATTGATATCTTTTGAAATGTCACGTAGTTATGTCATGCATGACAATGAATTGTTGTACAATAGAGCCTTCTCTCGGTACTTCAGAGTTTTGCCACCATTTATAAGGATATAGACAAGCTGGTGGCGCTGGCAGTTATGAGTCTTCGCTCGCTCTTTCCAAAATTTTTCGCTTTTGTGGAACTTTGTGGCGCTAGCCGCTATGGTTCCGATTTCCAATAGAAATGAGGGATATTCTGCCGTGTGGCGGCGCTCGTGAGGGCATGGGGGTAAAAAGCGCCAAAATCAAACTAAATTAAATTTTTAAATTTTTACATATAAGAGACAGATACAGAGTATGAAAAAAGACTGCAATATACAAAAATAATTTTAAAAAAATAGTTATAATCGTTCTATTCACATGTATAGCAAGAGTTGGCACATGTAAATATAACCTACTCATTAGATGAAGTACCAGTAATTTGTTAAATATTCAATACAAGTTATGTGAGCTTTTTGATGCTTCTTTCACCGTCCCCCATTTTTCATAATTTTTATCATTACACAATGGATAACTGTAGTAGTAAAAACTACGGAAAATGGACCAATAAACAATTAATTCTGGAGCTGAAAAAAAGAAGTGCAAAGACAACTGGGAAGAAGGCTGATTTAGTGCAAAGGTTTGCCGCGTATTTAATGTTTATGAAAGATGATGGTTCATCATTATAAATTTTTTATAGGCTCATTGATTACGACAAAATATGTATTAAGGTTACACCTGAAATTGAAGAAGAATATACATTAATTACCCCTGATCCTAAAAGCTACAGAGACTTGAATGCGTCGCATCCTTTATCACTACCAAATAACTTTTATGTAGAATGTTTTAATTCAATACAAGTTAAGATTCATAACGAAAAAGGAGAAAAAATGTACAATGATAATTACTTGCTGTGTCTTAGAAGCGCTGTAAATCAAGAGAATGAAACATTTTTGCTGGCACGAATTGCTTCTCAGTTTAGAAAAGCTATTGTTTACAATATAAATATTAAAATTACACCTCTAAATATTATTTCTGATACTCAGTGTGAGTGTGCTGCTGGTAAGGGACCAACAGCTCATTGCAAACACGTATTTGTGGTTTTTGAAGCTATCAAAGACTTTTTGATGAATAAAAGTATAAAAACAAAGGAAACATGTACAGAAATATTACAGACATTTCACCAAGCTAAAAAACACCTAGGCTCACCACTCAAGGTAAAAAATTTGGAAATTTGCAAAACCAAGAAATTGAAAAGAAAACTAGAACATTTTGATCCAAAGCCACAGAAATTTAGAAAAAAAGGGAACTATCCAACCTATTTCAGAAATCATTGTATAAACTTTGCAGCTTTAAACTTGCAAACTTTTCCTGAGATGCAGTTATTCGAAGCTGCCAATCTTTACTCTGTATATAATGATCATGATTATTTACCACAACACATGGAGGAAAGGTTTTTCAATGACATGTATTTATCAGCTATTACCAAACACCAGGTGTCTGAAATTGAAGTACGCACCAGAGGACAATCAAACAACAAACTTTGGTTTGAGGAAAGAAAATTTAGACTTAACAGTTCTAGTTTTGGTGAAATTTGCAACACATCCAACCCTGAACAACTGGTGAAAAAATTAATGCATCCTAAAGACTTGTCACAAGTTCCAGCTATCAAGCATGGTAAAAAATATGAATTGTATGCCATTAAAAATTTTGAAAGGATTATGAAAACAAAGATCCAAGAGTGTGGAACATTTATTTCTCTACAATATCCATATTTAGCTGCAAGTCCTGACGGTATTATTAATGATAAAACTTGTTTGGAAGTTAAATGTCCCTTCACTGCAAAATATCAAACAATATCACCTGAAAACATTAATTACATTTATTTATGTGACAAAGAAGGAGTATATAAGTTGAAAGAAGATCATTCCTACTACTACCAAGTTCAAGGACAAATGCTATGTGCTAATAAGTATGTCTGCTGCTTTGTAATTTACACTTTAAAGGACATTCTATTTTTAAAAGTAGAAAGAAATGAACAGTTCATCGAGCAAATGGTTGATACATTGAAACAATTTTTCGTTAATCATTACAAAAAAGCAATCATGGATAAGTTTGTATATAAAAGTTTATAAAACAGTGAGGCATTCTAAAATGAAAAAAATTCATTATCTTTTCATTTACACGTTCAAATAAATTATTTTACAAATCTAAGAAAAAAAAATACAATTAAATTGTACAAAAATATTTTCAAACGAAACATAAATCACATTTTTTGCATTCAAGCATTTTTACTAATGATTGGTCTTCGAAAATTGCATAACATGAAACACACAAATATTATTTCATCTGACAGTAGAGTTTGAGTATTATTTAAGGGTCCTTCTAATATTTTGTATGTTTTTGCCAATCCACTTATGCGTTCAATATGAACTCGTTTGCTTGCAATTTTTTGATCTTGAGTTATAGTGGAAGTTGACAATTGATTTTTTTTTCTTAAAAAAATGGGGAATATTTAATGTGATACCGTATGGAGCTAACAAATCTTGTATATCAAAGCCTTTATCGGCCATCAACTTGTCTCCAGGGTCGCACAAGGGCATAATTTCGCTTCTTTCAATAATTTGTCTATCGCTTGTTGACCCCCCATAGGCTGGAGTAATATTTGTCACCAATTCAACGGGTGAAGCACAGATTACTGTTTTTACAGTAGCTTTATTTTTATAAGTGGAGAACGTACATTGTTGAGTCGTGGGTACACTCGATTTATCTATAGGTATCTCAGTTCCATCTAAGATTCCTCTAGTCCCTGGAAATTTATCTAAAAAATCACTAGGTGTGAAAAATCTTACTAGATCTCGTGATGGCCACTGTAAAATTTCTGACCATTGCAGATACAAGAATCTAATCCAGGTAATAAAAACGTTCGTCACTTGCTTTAAAGAAATATTGAAAAATACACTCACTTCGTAGTATGTTCTGTTTTGACGAAGAATCAACAAAGTTAGTAGAAATTGATTTTCACTACTCATATTATTGGATGGTCCTGGACCGTTAATATAGCTAAGTTCGTTCACAGCTTCACCAAGTGTTTGAAAAACAAACTGAAACTTTTGATACGTTTCCAACCCTGTATAAAAGTGTACTAGTTTGTCATCACTTTTAATAGACTCAATACAAAAATTGAATGCTTTTAAAGTGCAGGTATCAGACAGATTACTTTTTGTTACTACAATTGGAGCAGAATTTTGAGTGACTTCCTCCCTTATTTCATCTATAACAACTTCATGACTAACATTTAAATAACTAAATTCTAATTCATGATTCAAGATATGCAGTGGATAAGTAATTAGGCCGGTATCATCTCCTTCAACACTCTTATATGGCACATGAAATTTGTGCTCTTCAATACATTTTTGTATCATTTTTTTCAAGCATTTTTCAGCAACAATATTTCCAATGAAATGTGCAATAAACCGTTTAACTTTTGCATTCTTTTTTTTCTCTTCTTTTATTTTTTCTTTTTCACTGTAAAATGGTACTGCTGTGGGCTTTAAACATTTTTTTATTGTACCATTGCCTGCAATTAAAATGCATTATCAAGATTATGATTTTTCTATTTTTTAATTATACTCTTACTTGTAGCAATAACATCAAAATCATCAGGACTAAAATGTGAGCTGCAAATTTTACTCCATTTGCCTGGCGTCCAATGCGAAAATTTAAGCTGCTTCATCCAAACTTTCAGTTTATTTTCATTTTTAGGAAACAAATGCCCTCCACTATTCACTAAATTTTCGCATTCATTCACACAACATTTTCCTCACATTTTCACTCAATTAAACTTTGGATTTTTTCAAGACACTAATTTTATTATTCATAGGTACAAAGTGTAAACCATACAAACAAATGTGATTTCACATTAAAAAAGCAGGTTATATTTACATGTGCCAACTCTTGCTACATATGTGAATAGAACGATTATAACTATTTTTTT